AATGCAAAATCTGTGCCAGGCCATTCACAGTGTTTCGCTGGTGCCCCGGAGTCCGCATGCGTTTCAAGAAGACTGAGGTGTGCCAAACCTGTAGTAAATTGAAGAATGTCTGTCAGACTTGCCTCTTGGATCTGGAGTATGGCCTGCCCATCCAGGTTCGTGATACAGGGCTGTCTTTTAAGGATGACATGCCAAAATCAGATGTCAACAAAGAGTACTACACACAGAATATGGAGAGGGAGATTTCTAACTCTGATGGAACACGGCCAGTTGGCATGCTGGGGAAAGCCACATCCACCAGCGACATGCTGCTCAAACTGGCCCGGACCACACCCTACTACAAAAGGAATCGACCCCACATTTGCTCCTTCTGGGTGAAAGGAGAATGTAAGAGAGGAGATGAATGTCCATACAGACATGAGAAGCCTACAGATCCAGATGACCCCCTTGCTGATCAGAACATTAAAGACCGCTATTATGGAATCAATGACCCTGTGGCAGATAAGCTTCTAAGGCGGGCTTCAACAATGCCTCGTTTGGACCCGCCAGAGGACAAGACTATCACCACACTATATGTTGGTGGTCTGGGCAATACCATTACTGAGACAGACCTAAGAAATCATTTCTACCAGTTTGGAGAGATTCGGACGATCACCGTGGTGCAGAGACAGCAATGTGCTTTCATCCAGTTTGCCACAAGGCAGGCTGCTGAAGTGGCTGCGGAGAAGTCCTTTAATAAGCTAATTGTCAATGGCCGTCGACTTCATGTGAAATGGGGAAGGTCCCAAGCAGCCCCAGGAAAAGAAAAAGAGAACAACGGAACCACAGACTCTCGCATCAATCTGGAGCCTGTTCCAGGCCTGCCAGGAGCTCTTCCCCCTCCTCCTGCAGCAGAGGAAGAAGCCTCTGCCAACTACTTCAACCTGCCCCCCAGTGGCCCTCCAGCTGTGGTGAACATCGCCCTGCCGCCACCCCCTGGAATTGCCCCACCCCCAGGTTTTGGGCCACCTATGTTCCACCCAATGGGACCACCTCCTCCTTTCATGAGGGCTCCAGGACCAATCCACTATCCTTCTCAGGTCCCTCAGAGAATGGGAGCTCATGCTGGGAAACACAGCAGCCCCTAGCACATTATCACCATTCTGGGGCTCTACAGAAGACAGGGCGCTTAAAAATCCCAGTAAACGAATCTTGGAATAAATATATTTTTCCTTCCTTTGTAGTTTCCATAGTAGCTGAATGTGTTCAGATGTGAGCAGTCAGAAAACAATAGCCATGCTTTGGTTGATGGAAATCAAATAAGCTGCCATTGACACATCTGGTTACTATAACGTTACTAATAAAACTTAATGCCTGTTCCCCTTCTATGGGGAGCAAGCAGTGGGGTGAATTGGAATATCCAGTGGAGTTTCCATCCCAATTATATGTTCACTTTGTATTATTTTTTTGGGGGGGGGGGGCATTAACCTGCGGAAAGAATCTTTTGAACATTTTTATGTCCATTAGGTATTTTCCTTTTTATCATCTAAAAAAAGATTACTAGTACTAATCATTGTAGTGGCATAAGTGTGATTTAACACTTCTGAAGTGACATCCTCAGAAAGACAAGTGGAATCCAGCAGGCAGCTCTGCCCAGGTCTCTTAACCTCGCCTTTCCTCATTGATGGCTAAAGGAATCTGGCTGATAGTTGTACTTTTCTACGCTACCAAAAGAGACAACAATAAAAATTACTTTGTATTCCTTTTGGATGGAAACAAATGTCATGAAGCTGTGTATCATTGAAGAAACCTGGTGTCTGGGATGAAATTAAAAAAAAAAGTTGAGCTAAATCAGAAAGCAGATCTAATTAAGCAAGTTTATTCTATATATATATAAAAGGCTAAGTTGACTCACGCATACTCGATACTTATAAAGTTCTCACTGGCGCCAATTGCACACATGTGTTTTGATCTGTCATTGTCAATACTGAATTTGGTTGGCACTTCTATTATATAGAAAGGGTGAAGAGCGATATTAAAATATTTCTTCTAATTAATTTTCTTTCAATGTGCACGAATCCATGCACTGGGCCACTAGTATGAAGTTATCTTAGCATATCCAGGCTACCATTCCATCTCTATGTCTAAATAGGCTTTATCCTGTTGATGGACTAAAACAAGAGTTAAATAATTGAAAGTAAAGGACAGCATAGATAAAGATGTGACTGGCAATATTCAAAATAAGGGCCAGGAGTTGGTTTTTCACATCACATTAACACACAGCTTCCCAGAACTGCATAGTCCTTTCCAATATCATTACAAACAAAGAGCAGATTTCCCTGTTCAGGAGGCTGCTACTACAGAGAAATCATTGGCTTCACATATGAGATCCTCCCTTTAGTGCTCACTGGTACCTCTACAGAGCCCCCAAGTCCTCAGACAGGGCCCTATGCTTACACTAGGAAGTAGGATTATTGCCTGGACAATAGGAGCCCTTGTAGGCTCTTTCTCCTCTCTTTTGCTGAAAGTTCAGGCTCAAAGTTGAAGACTTTTTATCATAAAGCAGGCAAAAGGTTAAAGTCCTGGCCTCTCATGGGTAGAACTGCCTTGAATAATCTCTCCCTATAGAATAACCTCTCCCTGTGCCTGTAAGAAGACCAGGATAGCAGTGCAACAGCCTACACAATACCCCAACCTGAAGACCTGGAAATGGCCTAAGAAGCTCTTCTCCATGCGCTGGGACAAATGCTAGACTTCTTTTCTTCATTGGATTTCAAAGAGGCAAATACAGAGAGTAAGCATTGCAGAGTTGACATCTTCCAAAGGCCATCGGACCTTGAACTCTTTGAACCAGGGCAGAGAAAACAAGTATTTCATGGGGTCCAAGATATCTGGTAACTCATCTCCCTTAGCTTGTGACTGCTCTGTATTGGAATCCTCCCTGAAATTACAGAACATGTGAAGCCGGTTCTTGACTCTCTCTAAACCATTGGTGGGCCTTAGCGGGCTGTGCTCTTCCCTAACTCTAAGAGGAAGAACCAATTTAATTTTCTAGACCAAGAAAGAACCAATTTAATTTTGTGTTTGGGGACTGGATAGATGAGAGACACACAGAATCCCTAGGTAAGGAGCTAAACAAGGCAGGAAACCATGTCAGAATAAAATTATTGGAATGTAGGTCCATAAAAAGCTGTAAGGTCTGGCATGTAACTAGAAACTAGAGGAGTGCATAAACCATGACATGTCTTAGGGGTGCCCAAACTGTGCCATTCTCCTCATGTGAGAGAGTTTAGAGTTGAAAAGGACATGGTCATGATGATGGGTAGGCACCCTAGTCAAATAAAGAGTGGAATCATGTTCCTCTCGGCCTTTTCATTTAGTGCTATAAAGTGGGTCTTCACAATTAGATATTGAGGTGGAGTTCAGCATGAAGAGCACTTTTATGAAACTCCATATGAAGGATGGGAAAGGAAGCTGCATTGGGATGCGGTTGCAGTTAATTGCAGTGTAGGCATAACAGTGTATGGCTCCTCAGAGTTGTTCCATGGTGGCCTGAAATGGCTGGCCTTTGTACGCCTTTTCATTCTGTAGTGCATGAGTGTTGCTAAGGGAAGCACTTGTCCTCGAAGCAGAGACAAACCTTAAGGAGGGGACAACTGAAGGCTGATGACATACTCTCAGCATCTGAACCAACACACCGTCCCTTGTGGGGAAATTGGTGCCTTTCCAAGTTCTCCATATCCAGCGGCTTCTTGAATTTGACTATCCTTTCTAGTATCTGTGTTTAGAGATCAATTGAAACTGTAATGCTGCTTGCTCCATAAGACCTGAAAAAATGTAGATGCATTCTCTGCAAATGTCAACTTAATGTTGTCTAAAATACGCTAGACCAAGTCAGAACTAGGTTTTACACCCAATCTAACAGTGAACTGAATTACCTTCAGCAGATGTTTAATTCTAATTTCAGATGTGTAACATTCAGATTATAGAACTCGCTTCAGCAGCACATATACTAACACATTCAGACCATAACCCCAACTTGGTAAAAATCATATAGGATTATAAGAATTTCCTTGACTGATGCAGAGCACTTTTAATGTTCTATCTTACCCCAGCTTTTCTGTAAAAGCCAAAATCTCAAAGTGTGACCAAGTAAAAAGCAGATATTCCACATGATCTGAACTCACCATTTGTAATTTATTATTATTGGCAAAACATCTCTTCCCAAGACTGTTTGAAAACTGAAAACACACCAAAAGCACCTGTGGGTGCACACCATCAAATTCTGCTGCACACAAGTGGATGGTGACCAGCTGAGGACTTCTCTGCTGTCTCCCTTCAGGACCACATCCCATGTTCAAACTGTGTGCTTTATCCCTTATCTTTCCCACCTGAGGAGAAAACGTTAGAGGAGGCCTAAAGACCTGGAAAGCTCCTATGTTCGAGAATTGCATAGATGAAACATCCTAGAAGGTGATGAACCCACAAAAGACAAGCTTAGACATACATTATTCCTTCTGATAATGCATCTTTCGTATGCACAGAAAAAAAGTGGGCAAGTGTTTATAACTAGGAACCATACTGCTCAATGCTCAATCATGAAGAATACTGAACACCAATATCCTCTGCTACTGTCCCACTCAGTCAGCTCTTGTCATGTGTCAGTTGCACACAGCTAGGCGAGTGAACTCTGCTTCTATGAGGCACTGGACTCTGCTTTAGCCTCTAGAGTTAGTTTCCCAAAGAGTTCTCTCTCTCCTTTCCACTAAAAAAAAAGCTTATGTTTTGCATCAACTGAAGAAATCCATTTCTTTTTTTCACTTCACCCATTCTATTTTCCCAAAACTCCCTCCCCTCCAGGGTTGTATACCCAGGATATCCCTTAGGACCAACACGTCCATCACTACTGGTTCCTTCTACCCAGAAAGTCTTCTCAAACACAGCCCAGCTGGGGCTCCAACTCACCTGAGGCGGCTCCGAAGAACACGGAAGCCTCTTGGCATCTGTGTTGTCGCAGGTGAACGAACCTCTCGGAGGTGCCACTGGCAGAGAAATTGTCTTCCTCTTCTCCACGATGTACAGAACCAAAGTGGGCCTGGAGGACCGCCAGCAACTTTACAAGTTGATCATTAGCCAGCTGCTCTATGATGGCTTCATCAGCAGTGCTAATGGCCTCATCAATGAAATCAAGCCTCAGTCTGTTTGTGCACCCTCAGAGCAGCTCCTGCATCTCATCAAACTAGGAATGGAAAACAATGATACCGCAGCTCAGGATGCAATTGGTCGTTCGGATACAGTTGCCCCAGGCACGGGCATTGACCTGGAGTTTGAGGCAGATGTCCAGACCATGTCCCCAGAGGCTTCAGAGTATGAAACCTGCTATGTCACATCCCATAAAGGACCATGCCGAGTAGCCACCTATAGTAGAGATGGGCAGCTAATAGCTACCGGGTCTGCTGACGCCTCCATAAAGATACTCAGCACAGAAAGAATGTTGGCCAAAAGTGCCATGCCAATAGAGGTTATGATGAATGAGACTGCACAACAAAATATGGAAAACCACCCAGTGATCCGGACCCTTTATGACCATGTGGACGAAGTCACGTGTCTTGCTTTCCACCCAACAGAACCGATCCTTGCCTCTGGCTCAAGGGATTACACCCTTAAGTTGTTTGATTATTCCAAACCCTCGGCAAAAAGAGCCTTCAAGTACATTCAGGAAGCTGAAATGTTACGCTCCATCTCTTTTCACCCTTCCGGAGACTTTATACTTGTGGGGACTCAGCATCCTACTCTTCGGCTCTATGATATCAACACATTTCAGTGTTTTGTCTCTTGCAATCCTCGAGATCAACACACCGATGCCATATGTTCTGTTCATTACAACCCTAGTGCCAACATGTATGTGACCGGTAGCAAGGACGGCTGCATCAAGCTGTGGGATGGCGTCTCGAATCGGTGCGTCACAACTTTCGAGAAGGCACACGACGGTGCTGAAGTTTGTTCTGCCATCTTTTCCAAAAATTCTAAATACATTCTTTCAAGTGGAAAAGACTCTGTAGCTAAACTTTGGGAAATATCAACAGGACGAATGCTGGTCGGATTCACGGGTGCTGGCTTGAGCGGGCGGCCGGTGCACCGGACACAGGCTGTCTTCAACCATACAGAGGACTACGTGCTGCTGCCAGACGAGAGGACCATCAGCCTGTGCTGCTGGGACTCACGCACAGCTGAGCGCCGAAACCTGCTGTCCCTGGGCCACAACAGCATCGTGCGCTGCATCGTGCACTCGCCCACCAGCCCCGGCTTCATGACCTGCAGCGATGACTTCAGGGCCAGGTTCTGGTACCGGAGGTCAACCACAGACCAGGACCCTGCCCCTCCCTCCCATGTGTCCCATCACCAGCCTCAGTAGAAAGTCACGGTACCATCTTTGGCAGTCGGGCTGCCGCCTCTGCATCCTTCTTGGATTTTGTACAAAAGGGTCCTTTTTTTACCTTGATGTGGAATCATGACGGGAAAAAGTGGGAAACGCAGACCCCTGCTCTGCACTCACTGATTATCACAGTGTGATTTTCATCGGTTTTGTAAATACAGGACTTGCCATTTCTCTGAACTTGATCTTCTGAAGAAGGATAGAGTAATAAAGTGCTTTCTAGATCTCGTGTGGGTCTGTCCTGAGGAATTCTCATTGGGCTCTTTTGTCATCTTCTGTGCCTGTGCCGCATCCTCTCTGTGTTTTCCTTTCCAAATGCATTTTGACCGATGAGTAGGCATACCTTGAGAATCGAGTTCCGTGCCCTATTAAACCACTTTAGAGAATCGGTTCTCTGAAAGGACATCCTAATAATAAAGCTCAGACCTTGCTGCTTGACACAGTCGCTGCAGGAAAGAAACATCTGCATAGCAATGTTTCAAGGGACCTGGCGTATATACCATACTGTTCTTAATATGTTTGCTCCTGGCCCTAACCGGTCTGGCTCAGTGGGTAGAGCGTCAGCCTGCAGACTAAAGGGTTCCAGGTTCGATTCCGGTCAAGGGCATGTTCCTTGGTTGCGGGCACATCCCCAGTAGGGGGTGTGCAGGAGGCAGCTGATTGATGTAACTCTCTCATCGACGTTTCTAACTCTCTATCCCTCTCCCATCCTCTGTGAAAAACTCAATAAAATATATATTTTTAAAAAATATGTTTGCTCCCCTTAGCGCTATGTGTTTTAAAACCAAAGTCACCTCTCCAAGAAAGGTTGTTTCCCCAGGTAGGGATTTTTCTTACTTCGTCATGTGATAGTATTCCACACAAAAGGAGGTTCAAAAGCCAGTGGCTTGAGTTACAACATCTAATATCGTCTCACCTCCATATAGGTATACGGGGTTTGGCGGTCATGATAATTACAATCACAGACAGCTGCCTTCAACAAATCCCTCCAAGGAAACTTAATAGCTTCTCCCAGAGGCACAGGTTTTACTTCACCTGTTTGCAGTTTCTATCATTAAATTCCCTCACCTTTGAGTTTTCCTGCTACCCCCTTTTCATGGCTTAGTCTTGTCTGAGTAGCATAGTACAATTCAGATAGCAATAGCTATCTTTGACCATAAACAATTTCAGGTAGATTTGGTGCTAAGAAATATGACACATGGCTATACCAGTCTCTGGGCAAGTAGCCACTGGTGTTGAGCTGCTCTAGGTAAACACTGGGTTCTAAGCAGTAACCTACAGAAAGCTGAACCCAGACTAGCCTTGGAATTTCAGTTAAGGCCACCCCCTAAGGATTAGTCAGGGTTTTGAGTTAAGAGTTAGTCAAACAAGTTTTAAGAGAACATATAAAAGATTCAGGCTGTACTGTGCCCAGTAGATAGAAAGAAGGCAGAAAGCACTTCAGACCCAAGTTCAGAGAGGTGTCCACACAGAAGAAATGGCCCAAGGCACAGCCAAATTTCTATGGCCTAGGCGGGGAATCCTGTCCTATCCCATGTCTTGTTCTAAAAGAAAGTTACAGTTAAGAAGCTTCTTATTCTACCTCTTCTCCAATTACGGTTATAAACTTGTCTCCTCCTAACCCTCGTACCATAGTTTAATGTTGTTTTGCTCTGCATTTCTAAGGTGGGAAAGGTGAATTTTTCAGTGTCTCCACTGTTAACATTGTATTGGGAAGTCAGTACTGTTCTCTTTGCCCAATAATCCACTGGGGTATTTTGTATATTTAAAGTAATTTTGTATATATAGGTTAACTTTTGGGGTGTTTTTTTTTTTACTTTGTTTTCATAGTGGTTGAATAAATTTACAGAAATGGAGAGGGGTTTAGTAGACGACGCATGCCATACATGCATTTAGTATCTTAGAATTCACACTTAAATTTAACCAGATTCTTGGTTGACAAAATTAAATCACTAGTCCACTCACTTTTTGAATTTCTGGAAGCAGAGAAATGTTGCTGTCAGTAAAGGGACACAATTACGGGTGAGCACTCTAGAGGGTGAGTAGTCAGAGAAACAGTGTCAGGCAGCACTGCTCTTGGGCCTCTTCCTGTAGAACCCTACCACACCACCTGTCCTGACACCCCAGTTCTAGTCATCACCATTAACTAGCACTGTTCTTTGGAAAGGCTGGGACTTTCAAGACCCTAGATCTCATATGCCAAGTAATTATTTGTCCAACTACGCTTTTCCACCCAGAACTATGCTTCTCTTAAGCAGGGAATCTACGTGAAGGCAAGGTCTCTGCTCTTCCCTTTAAACTCTGCTTCTTTCACACATACAGTGTAAGCAATGTAACTCTCCACTCATATAGTGGACACAGGTACACATTCTTACTCTTTTACTTTTTCTCCATTTGTCCAGGTTTTTTCTAAAAGCAGGAAGACCTAGGTGTTTGGTATAATGCGATTTTTAAAAGAAACACCTTTGTTCATATAGTTGACAGAGAAACAGCAATACAATTTTCTGTATAGCAGCCATAAAATCATCCGTCAGGATAATAATCATATCCATCACATAGCATGCTCTTGATGAATGTCACAAAGATGCCACATTATGCCCTTTCCCTATGACATTTTTCTCCGGATAACCTCAAGAAAGCCTCACAATTCTCAGTGCTCTGGGTAACCACCATCTAACCAGATGAAGTTACTTCCCTGTCCCAACTGACCATTTACCTATCAGAAGAGTGCTCTCAGGTGAGCAAGTACGAGACTGAATGAAGAGCCTAAGATGATGTAATACATTCGCCTTTCCCCACCTCCACATTCAGGGGGAAGGTGAGCTTCAGCCCACAGGTTTTAGATTATTTTCAGATTAAATTGCTGTTTCCAAAAGGAATAAGATTAAGACCTTAACTCCCGGGTAAGAGGGTTCAACAGCTGCATGATGGCTGAAGTTCACTTTAGTTCTGTTCTTCACTAATATCTCAAAGGGCATTTTCTTCTCTCAAACAAGTCTAATTCAAAAAGTCTTGTTTTTTCCCCATGGTTTTCATCCAAGCTGATCCAACCTTTAGTCTCTAAAGCAAGGAGGAGGGGAGCTAGCTTTTCCTCACCTTCTGCCAAGTCTAAAGAGGAGTTTGTCTCCAATAGATATTTTAGGATCCAACTGAAGGCTAGAAGAAAGAAAGCATTTAGAAACTTTTCATGAAAAAAAGCGAGATAAGATTACTGAGTTTCCTTTAAGCATAGAAGCTCCAAACCCATGTATTTCTTCTAAAAGGGGTTTATCAAACTGCAGTACGATATCTGGAAGAGTGATTTTGCTGAACTTTTTTGTTGTTGATCCTCACCTGAGGATATTTTTCCATTAATTTTTAGAGAGAGTGGAAGGGAGGGGGAGAGGCACACAGAGAGAGAGAAACGTTGATGTGAGATACATCGATTGCTTGCTTCCCGTATGTGCCCTGACCAGAGCCAGGGATCCAGCCTGCAACTGAGGTTTGTGCCCTTGACCAGAATCAAACCTGGGACCCTTTAGTCCCTGGGCCAAACCGGCTAGGGCTGAAGTATCTTTTATGCAAGAGGTTGAACAGAAGTCAAAAAGCAGCTGACTTCTAGAAAGATTTGAGCACGAGAGAAGAAATTTCAAAATTCAAGATTCAATTTTAAGCTTTAAGAAGTGAATCCCTTTTAGAAACTCCAATAGTTAGAAAAGTTTCCCCTTTTTATTTCCAGGAAGAGAAGACATGCCTGATAAAATGACTTAGGCAGTTACAGTGACCACCTATTTTCTGTCTGCGCACACACTGGCTTCCCTTCTTTCCGTTTCCTCAATCTGTCTGCTTAGATTCTCTTTTCCTTTTTCTTTAGTCACCTTTCACTTCTAAAGGAACCTAACCAAAATTTCCCTTGAGATCTGTGAAAATTTTGGTTCATTTCCACTGACCCCTCCTAACCAGCAGATAAGTTTTTAAGCCTAGAAAACGTTGGACTACATCACCCAAGCCCCACGCCACACCCAGCAACACCAGAGCAAGCAACACTCCCTCCTAACAGACCTGGTCTTTTTTTATACTCAAAGCCCCACCTTCTCCTTGGGTGCGGACCAAAGAGAATGCCAAGGATCTACTTCAGCTCTACAATTGGTCCCTGACTTCTGGCAAGTGAAAACAAGTGTCAGGATGCTTGGCTGCCCAGGGCCTTCTCTTTAAAGAGGCTCTGCTTCCCCTGCCTGCTTCTATACAACGTTGTAAAAGCTTCTGAGTTGTTAAAGACATATTTTGAGGGAATAGTTAGAGTCATCTGCAAAGAAAGACGGAAGCAACTGCCCCTCTAGCACTTTGTCCTTTTTTAAAAAAAATATATCTATTGATTTTAAAGAGAGAGGAAGGGAGAGGGAGAGGGGAAAAAACATGATGTGAGAGCAGAACATTGATTGGTTGCCTCCTACACACCCCCTACGGGGATCAAGCAGCAACCCTGGGCATGTACTCATCTGGCAGACTCCTGGTGCACAGGATGATGCCCCACCGAACCACACTGGCCAGGGCTGGCGCTGCGTCTTAATATGGAAGATTTTTAGCATGCCCTAAGGAATTTCAGAATCAGAAATGAGTGCCTGCAGGTATACTTCATTTTATTGCACTTCACTTTATTGTGCTTCACAGGTGTAGCTTTTCTTACAAACTGAATGAAGGCAAGGCCCTCCACCAACAGAAAGCTTACAACTCACTTTACTGCAGTACTCTTTTTATTATGGTGGTCTAGAATCAAAACCCCATTATCACCTAGGTACGCCCTTATTTGGCCAGACACTAGTGTTAGAGTCAAACATCTTTACCATCAGATAACACTAACTTATGGCTCACTAGCGTGTGTCATTCTTTTATTCTTTAATTCACAAGTGTTAAAGCCTATGATTCAGAGAAAGCAAGGAAGTGACCTAGTGTGGCTTTGGGTTTTGTCTCTGTTTCTCAAACTGCAGGCGAGGTGTATG